TTGATGAACCAGAAGGACTAAAAAACATGTTCACCTTGATCACCAAGCGCTTGGAGATAAAAGGCTTTGTAGAAACAGACTTCAAGCATGTTTATCCAGAATATTTACAATTGGCAACCAACCATCTGAAGACAAGAAAATTGGTCTATGTTGAAGATGTAGCTGAGGGCCTAGAAAATGGTCCATCTGCTCTGGTTGGAATTTTCCATGGCTGCAATGTTGGCAAGCAGATAATTCATGTTGCTGATAGAGACTAGCAATGAAGTTTCAAGTTCAAATCCGACCATCAAGATATTTAAGCATTTCCTGTTCATTTTGGTATGTGTTTGAAAGTTATAATAGAAGTGGGATGCAATGATGGATCATACAATATTGAGTATTACTTAATTAAAATGAAATTGAATATTCCAATAATGGAAAATCTTATGTTAACGTACATAAATGACTATAAACATTTCAAGAGTTCACTTTTTTTGTTGAATTCTTTTGATTGTTAGTCAAAAAAACAAGACTTCACTGACCGTCCCCTTTTCACATTGGCATTAACCTTCTTATGCAACCAACCCAAACAACAATTCAAGTGGGAATGGAAGAAGAGACATCTATGATCTAACATTAAGTCATTAACTCCTTTTCCATGACTTTGTTAGTAGGGAGAATTTTTAAGAAAATAATTTTTTGTGAATCTATTCTTGTGTGAACATGCCCTTTACTTTCTTCGATGGAACTAGCGCCGAAAAGAATGACTAATGTTATTGGGGCTTGATATTATATTAAAAAATTATTGAAGTATAATTTTTTATGTAATTTTTTATAAAATTTTATATATTATTTAATAATTAAATTTTTTATTTTAACAGAATTTATAATATTATATATATTTAATTATTATGATATATAAAAATATAATAAAGAAAAATAGTCCCTATATCATTACTAATACAAGATTAGAGCATTTTTTCGTAAAAATTGCCTCAGTCAATTGCAAGTTGGAACGTATTTTGATTAAATGAGCCAAAAGACAAAAGGTTGAGTTCATCTACATTTTCATCCTTCTATTTTTTTAGAA